CTCTGCATGCCGAAGCAAAGGACGAGCCGAAAACAAAAGGTAATGTCACCATTATTTGTTTGTTTTACGCGGGATTAAAAGAAAATTTTTAATGACAAAGTCTGAATAAGTTGTCTTTAAGTACTTCGATTCAAATCTAGATAATTCCAATATTATTGAAAGTGTCCTAAAGTCATTCATTGAGTTTAATTACCTTTAGACCTTTTAGATGGATTTCTTCCAGAAATGGCTAGAGTGAAATTTGAATATGAACCTCAACATAATGACGAACTTCGGCTTGGAGAGATTGGACAGCTCATCACTATTATCCGAAAGGATTGCGGGGATGCCGGATGGTTTGAAGGAGAAATCAATGGACGCCGTGGCTTGTTCCCAGACAACTTCGTTGAACTTGTTCAGGTTAGCGTTTTGAATATCTCTTTTTTGAAGGTGCTTTATTTTGTTTACGGAACTTATTGGGAATGTTCATTGACTAATAGCAGAGCTACCTTGAAACGCAATAAAAAATTTTCCAACACCATATTGCTTGAGTCCCCGGCTTTTCCCATAACAGCTTTCCTACTTTTGTCCTCTTGATCAAGAAATTGCGTGAATTAGTGCAGGGACTCTTACGGCCTCATATCAATATGCCATATTTTAGTCACAGTCGATACAGTGACTTTAGCTGCATCAGTATCGTTTCGCTCTATAGATGTACCTGTAGAATATATAGAGCTAATTGTATCTCAGTCATAACGAACTTGCTCACTATACATTCAGCTTGTAATTGTAAATATTTGCCCATGAAGCGGAAATGGGTTAGGTTATTGTTTGTTTCTTTGATCTTTATCTTGTTGTTGCGTTGCAATTTTTACAAATGAAACCTACTCAGGTGTTAGGTTTGTCGTAAGTCTTGCCAGCAAATTTGGCCATTTTGGTTTCAGTGACTTTTTTTCGATATTATCCATGAAAGGCAATATATTAGCCATATTGCGTGAAATTACTTAAACCACTCAAAGAATTCGTAACGGCAAATGATGTTCCTTTTGAAAAAATTCTCTCACTCAAATGAAGCTTCAGTTATCGAGGGCAATGTTGTTTAGACCATAAGCTATGGCTATGTCTGCTGCGGTGCAGTGAGAATCGCTTACCATTTGAGTTTTTCCGATTTTCCATAGACTTGAAACTTATCCATGAAACTCTTGTCAAAAAAAGAGTGGAAATCTTTTCGTATTTTATTTTGCTACCATTGGTCAGTTCCTGTAATCACGTGTGTATTCGAAAGAATCTATAATGCCTCAGTACAACTTCCAAATTGCACTATATTTGCATTGTATTTGATTCATTTAAAATGTTT